GCGTGTGCAGGAGGCAGCTGATCGATGTTTCTCTCATCGATGTTTCTAACTCTCTATCTCTCTCCCTTCCTCTCTGTAAAAAATCAATAAAATATATTAAAAAAAAAAAAAGCAAAAGGTGTATCAATGTCTCAGAGGAGGAGGGGTCACCATGAAAATGGGGCTCCTGTGCATCAGTAGAGGGGAAAGGGGAAGAGGAGGGCTGGCCCTTGGCCGGCTGTGGGCACAGCCAGCCTGGCTTTGTCACAGACCTGGAGCCATGGAAACCCAAGCAGCCACCCGGGGGTAGGGCAGTGGGGAGACCTCATACCCCCACCACGCAACTGTGTCCAAAGCACAGATTGTTCTCCGGGGAGCAAAGGCTTCCCCACACAACCCAAAGCCCAGAGTGAGGGCACCCTGCAGGGATGGGCCCCCCAGAGCAGGAGCAGCCACCCTGACGAATGCACAAGTGGGATAGGTGGTGCGGGCGACGGGAGATGGGAAGCCCTTCCTGCCATGCCCCTCTCAATGCAGGCCAAGTGGCAAGAGTAGGAGAAAATGGTTCTGGTCCTATACCCCCTACGGGAGGGGTGAGGTGTATCTTCAAAGGCACAACCAGGACTTGTGGGTGACGACGGGACTCCCTGAGTCTAGAGCAGGGTCCTGGGGTCTGAGTCCCCAGTGTGTCCCCACTTTCCACACATGTGCCTGTGCCCCAGCCTGGCTTCCTCTCACTTGCTGTCCCTCTAAGCCAGTGATGGCGAACCTATGACACACGTGTCAGAGGTGACACGCGAACTCATTTTTTGGTTGATTTTTCTTTGTTAAATGGCATTTAAATATATAAAATAAATATCAAAAATATAAATCTTTGTTTTACTATGGATGCAAATATCAAAAAATTTCTATATGTGACACAGCACCAGAGTTAAATTGGGGTTTTTCAAAATGCTGACACGTCGAGCTCAAAAGGTTCGCCATCACTGCTCTAAGCTCTCCCCATCCTGTTACTACCCCTCTCGCAGGGCCAACTCAAGGTGATCCAGGCAGGCATTGGTGTCCAGCAGCCCCCACTTAGCCTGAGGCTTCTACAAGGAAGATGAGGCCCCACAGCAGAGATGCGTGACCTTGGGTTGGGTGTGTGGGGGTGCATTTCTGGGACCCACCAGGGGACAGGTTCCTATGACGTTGTCCCAGGCTGGGAATGGTCTTCGTGTTCATCTAGACCAGCATGCCAACTTTACAGAGGAGGGAACTCACAGCCTGGAGAGCTGATGGACTTCTCCCAGGTCACGCCGGTTAGCAGCAGCTAAGCCGCACCATCCTGAGTTCCGGGGTCTTCTCCTGGCCACACAACCCCTCGGCCCAGGGCCACACACCACCCTCACCAGCCGGCAGGTGGTAGCTTGTCCTGCCCTGCCTGCTGGAGCTGCTGGGGGGATGTGCCTGGGGGGGGCTCCCACTCCCCGAACACTAATCCAATCTGCAGGTCTAGCTTGTTAATTTTATGCTTCATCAGTCAGCCGCTGCAGGAGCCTTCCACTGACATGGCTCCATAGACCTAGCCTGCTCTCCTCCGCCCTGGCTGCCTGTAGTCAACTTTTGTTGAATTTTTTTATTTGTATTTTTGATTATATAAGTAATGCATGACTACAGATCCTACTATAAAAAGGTTCAAGCTCTAAAAAAATAAACAGATAACCTCTCTTCTATCCTCTCCTCCAAGGAAGGGCTGCAACAGCTCAGTGTATCCCTTTTGGCTGATTTTGTAGCATAAATTCAGCGGCTCTATCCTGCCTTATGAAAAGAGAATGTCCCGGTTCCCAGGATCCCCAGGTCTCAGCAGATCCTATCTGGGAAGGGGACTGAATGGAAAGGAGGAAGGTGTGGGAATTGGGGACCGGGCAAAGTTGGAGGCAGGACAAGAGATGAAGAGGAGCACCCATACCTTTCGGTCATCTTTGAAGACGTCCGCAGTGGAGGTGAAGTATGGAATGACCTTCTTACAGTGCGGGCACCCTGTTGAGAGGGAGAGAGAGTGTTACACACAGGGGCGGGGGGAGGGGGAGGCTGCAGAGCCACAGCCCTTCCCAGGACCCCCAGAGAGGCCTTTCAGGGAGTGTCTCTCACTTAACAGACTGTGGGGCTCCTCTGACTCCCACCACCTGCACACCCGACCGTCAGGGCCCATGCATCAACCCTGCCCCTCAAACCACCATCCTGTGTGTCTGCTGTTGGCATGAGGGCTTTGTTGGTGCCCTGTGCAAGTGGCAGGCCCACGCCTGCCCAGGGCCTCCCTTCCCACAGTTACCTTAGAACAGTGGTTCTCAACCTTCCTGATGCCACTACCCTTTAATACAGTTCCTTATGTTGTGGTGACCCCCAATTTCATTGTTACAAATTGAACATAATTAAAGCATAGTGATTAATCACAAAAACAATATCTAATTATATATGTGTTTTCCGATGGTCTTAGGCGACCCCTGTGAAAGGGTCGTTCAACCCCCAAAGGGGTCGCAACCCGCAGGTTGAGAACCGCTGCCTTAGAAGGTGATGTGTGCTCAGGATTCTCTGAGCCTGTTACAAAGCCCCCTTCTCTTGCAAACCTCTCCATTTCATGACTGAGAAAGTAGGACTGGGAAAGGAAGGGGTGGAGGTGGGGGTGGCACAGGAGTAACCACGCTGCCTGAACCCCTGCTACTTACGCTTTGGGGCTCACTTCCACATTCTCAGTAACCTCTACCCTCATCCCAGACCGAGCTGCCAAACCAGCTCCTGGTCCTCATGCTGTCCTTCTACCCTTCGCTCTACAATCCATCTGAACCAGGAATGGGAAAGCCAAGGTCAGGCTAAGAGGACAAGCTGTCCTTAGGTTCCCGACCCCAGGAAGAGGCCCATCAGTGTAGACAAGGACCTGTGACTCCAGCGGCCCTGTAGGGGACCGGGGCATGCACACAGCCCCTCAGGCTCTGACGACAGCATCTCAGGCATAGACTGGACCTGTGTAGGGCCACTTCGTCCTCCTATCCCAGTGAATCCAGGGCAGCATCCACTGAGGGGAGAGTCCGGGAAGATGCAGGCACTCTTGCCCAGACTCACTTTCTTGGCCCTTCCCTCAGCACCAGCAGATCAAAACCCAAGCCCACCTCCTCTCTCCACCGCTGTCCAGACACTGAACACATGCCGAGAGAGCGAACTGCTTTCAGCGGAAGATCTCCCTGACGGTGGTAATTAATTCTCATCAAAACACAGGTGGGAGAGGCGAGATGCCCTGGCCCCAGCTGACTTCCTGACAGACAGCCGGGCCAGCCCTCCAGCCGCCCTAGGCCTGGGGGGAGCCAAGGTGGGAACAGAATGGCTGTGCTCATCTGCTTTCCCCCGTTTAAAAGTAAGATAATAATGATTGGCATTTCAAAGGGTTTTGTGAAACCAAATTAAGCCTAAGCTACACTTTAGTCTGCAGTCAGCACTTGAGGGGCTCCCGAGATGGGCAGGACCACTCCTGTGGCCTGGCTGGTGGACTGGCCAGCTGGCCCTAGTACAGTGTGGTCCCTGATGGGGAGGGGGCTTAAAGGGATTTTCCATTCTCTGGCCCAGGAGTAGAGAGGAAAGCTAGACTGGTTATGGGTTACATCAGAACTAAATGAGACGAAGTGCCTAGCACGGCCTAACTCATGGCAGATACTAATAGATGTTTTTTAAATTGCCTCAATGGCAAATACAGGAATATTCACTAATGTGACTCAACAGGGGTAAGAATAGCTCAAATTCATGAAAATTTCAGATTATGAAGACATGACAGCATACAGTTTTTAAAACATTTATAGAGCTTAATGTATGTGCTGGTGGACAAGGCTTATCCAAGCTCACCCTAGGTCACCGAGAGGTCCCTCATGAGTGGCCTGGATGCCTGCTAATAGCATCAGGCTGGCAAGGAATAAGCTACCCTCTTCCCCCAAATCTGGTATCACTAATTGTTCCTTTCTAACTTCTCTGCTTATGGAAAGTACAAAGGTAACTGTCGGCCTAGTGCAAACTCCTATTACCATCAATTTAAAGTCTCTAGGTGTCAGATTAATGGTCTCCTGTTGCATCTAATCTTTTCATTATCCAAGAGAAAGAGCATAGCGATTGAATGGCTGTAAGGGAGGTGGGTTTAGAAAGGGCATAAAGATGCTGCCAGGGTGTCAGGTGGGCGAGAGAAGCACAATTTTTTTGATCTGGATTCTTTTTAAAAAGGCACCACCGCTGTACAGCAGGAAGCCAGAGAAGTCTCCCAGAGAGAGGGAGAGAAACAAAGACTGAGGACAGAACAGAATTCCAATTCTGGAGACTCAGTCACACTGGCCTAAGAAGGGCAGTCACTGTGGCCAGACCATTCAGAGCAAATGGGGCTTGGCCTAGGGGAGAACAGTGAAACAGCAGGAGGAGGATCTGTGTGGAAGTTGGGGAGGTGGGGGTAGTGAGGGGGATGTGCAGGGAGGAGATGGGGGAGGGATGTGGAGGTCAGATTTTGCTTTTTATTTTATATCTACCTCTATCAGGTGTTTGACCTTTCTGTAAAATTTAGTTGTCTTTGTATATGAATGAGTATATACTATAGACTATATCTATTATAAATAAATGTATAATATTATTATTATTGCTTATCCTCACCTGAGGATATTTTTCCATTGATTTTTAAAGAGAGTGGAAGGGGGAGAGACACAGAGAGAGAAACATTAATGTGAGAGAGACACATCCATTGATTGCCTCCCACATGCCCCCGACCTGCAACCGAGGTACATGTCCTTGACTGGAATCGAACCCAGGACCCTTGAGTACAAGGGATGATGCTCTATCCACTGTGCCAAACTGGGGGGGAAGGGGGGGCGGGTATTTTTATTATTAAAAACTAGAGACCCGATGCACAAAATTTGTGCAAGGGGCTTGGCCCCCGCCCACCGCAGCAGCTGCCTTGGCCCTCGCAGCCGTGGCTTCGTCCAGTCTAATTAGCATGTTATGCTTTTATTATTATAGATTGTTAAAGGCTTGTTTGTCTTTGGGATAGTTCCCCTCCCCCCAATATTGTTTAACCCCCTGATTAACATGTCTTCGATCTGGAGCAGAATCCAGAGATTATAGGCATCAAGCCCGTTGCTGCAAGTTGAGTCGCTCAGTGACTCACCCTACGTTTAAAGTTATCTCTTGCCAGGGTGAACTGTGAGGCCTCTGAGGCCAGGCAGGGATCACACCTCCTTCCCTGTGTTCTGGGGCCAGGACTTCACTCAGCACACAGTTGGTATTTGAGGGAGGTCCTTAGCACCCCAACAGGGTCAGAGTCCCTGCCCCAGAGTCACAGGGTGAGAGGGGTGTTTCCAGGGGTAAGTATTTAGCCTGGTCTTTCTAACGTCCACCCAGAGCTGGTCAAGGACTCCAACTTCTATAGCCAGGATGTCACTTGCTGCTGAGAAAGTCCCTACTCTCTGAATCGAATCTGTGACAGAAAAGGAGCATCAGGCTGCAGAACAGCTGTCACGAACAAGTCACCCACTGAATCTCCTGGGACTCCGTTCTGCGCCCTCACTCTGCCTGGAAGGAAGCCGCTAACCTCTTAATCCCCAGTCCTCCAGGCTCACTCTAAGGACAGGTGAGGACAGAGACAAGCTGTGTAAGGAACCCAGAGCATAGTCCCCCCCAGCGAGATGCGTTAGCCGCCTGAGGGCGGGGTCTGAGGCCGGGCCAGGCGGCAGCCCCTTCCAGACAGTGAGGGCTGAGGAGAGACACTGCGGATGATTGACACTTGACAAGTTGGGCAGGAGGGGAGCAAACAGGAGGGCATAACCTGGCGGAGAGAACGACAGGAAAGTGGGACATTCAAGAGCCTGGCCTTTTACGGATCAATTAACTTCCAAATGGGAATACACAAAACCTGAGGTCACAACCACCCATGTTAGCAGGTGTGTCACTTCCTCAGCTCAGCTTAAGTTTGATTTAAAAGGAATCGCAGGATCTCGGGAGCTGGAGCGAATGTGGCTGCTTCACCACAGCTTCAAAGCCACTGGGAAGGTAACGCCAAATTCCCAGGTTTGAAGGAGAAGTCAGTGTCCGGAGGGATGGAGGGAGCCGAGGGGCAGCGGGAGGAAGTGGCTGGTGGGAGGCAGCCAGCCTGGAAGATCCCGGGAACATGAGGAGACTGAGTAATCACATGGCACATCCCTGCCACCTCCAGCAGTGGAGGGCTTTAGGACTGATGTGAGGGAGGCTCCCAGGAGGGAGAGAACCTGACAGCTGACTGACACAAGGGGCCCTGGATTTGAAGGGCAGCCTGGAACGAAACTGGGGGCCTTGCTTACCGCAGAGGTGAACCCACAGTCAACCTGCGGGTGCCCTGGTCCCAGGGGCGTCCTCGTAGTTCCGTCTGGCCCACCCCTCTCTCACCCCGAAGTGAGCACCCCAGCTACTTACAAGGGGCATAGAACATGACCAAGGTGTGTTTCTTCTTCTTCAGGGTCTCCCGGAAGTTGTCCCCCGTCAGATGCAGCACGCTGGTCTGCTGCTCTTCCCAGGTGGGCTCTGGGGGTGGGGGGGCCTCGGGGCTGCAGGGAGCCGGGGTGGAGGGGACACAGTCATCAGGAGAGGCTCATGTACAGGCAAGTGCTTCCAACCCTTCCCCTCTCCCCCCACCATGCAGGGGAGCATGAGAGAAACCCCTTTGCTTCCTTTCTAAAGTTTAATTTAGAAAAAATTAAATATGAAAAAATCTGTACCATCAGCAAAGATTCCCGATTCCCTTGGAAAAGCCTGAAGTGCAGCCACTCTGTGAAGGTGCGGAAGAGCTGAGCCCCTTCAGGGCGAGGCCGCCCCGCAGGTATGGGCCCTCACTCCTGGCCATGGGCATAGCAGCTCCTCCACAGGGCTCCCCTCCTGCCCCCTGTTTCTTCTGGGACCCTGAAGGCTGCCTACTACTTCCTGTTCCTGAACCTTTGTTCTGGTGGAGAGAGCATGGGCCAAAGAGTGCAGCGGGTCTGGGTTCAAATCCAGATTACTTACCAACAGTGTGACCTTAGGCAAGTTACTAACCTCCTCTGAGCTTCCATTTTCTTTTCTGTTAAATGAGTACAATGATACCTACTTCCTGGGATCCTTACAGAGAGCGGAGGGTGCATGTCAAGCACCTAGCCAGCCAAGCCACCAACAGCTGCTGAAGCCTATATGCTCTGATAAGTGACCGGCGCGTAGTGGGTGTTTATAATTTCTCATTCTGTTTGTCCACTGGTTCCCTCCCCCTGCCTCTCAAAAGTACTGATAGATCTCTCCAGGGTCTTTTAAAGCCTCTGTTGCCCTTGCCCCCTTCTCTACAGCCACGTCCTCTCTCCCTTCGCTGAGAAGTGTCTCGGGGGTGGCGGGGGGTTGGTCTGCTCCCAGTGCTGACACAGCCCCCTGCATTCTCTCCTTCGCCCCTGCACCCCGACACCCCATAACCATCCTCACCTTTCAGAAGCTCTCTCTCTCTCTCCGGTTCTCTCTCTCATCCCCTGCAATGCCCCAAAGCTCCCATTCTGCGTAAGCTGGTGTTTCTTAAAACACTGAGGCTGAAGGTCCCACTCACACTTCCTGAATCAAAGCTTCAAGGACAGCAGCCCAGCATCTGCGCTTTAAATCAGCACCTCAACACCAGGTGATGCTGACATATATCCAAGCCTGAGGTTCAAGGTCCTAACAGAGTAACTCCATTCAGATGCTGCTGTTCTGCAGTTCTCGTGTCACTTTGTGACTTTAACTGGTTCCCAACTGGGCATCATTATAACATGGACCAGGAACCTTGCAGAGGCTGGAATATGTCTTCTCTTTGTCGCCCTCAGCAGAAGTGAGGAAATAGTCTCAGATATTTAAGGTGTGTGTGTATGTGTGTGTGCGTGCGCACGTGTGTTGGGGGAGGGGTGTAGATAGCAGAAAGGCTCCTCAGTTGTGTCCTAACAATTCCTGCCTCTCAAGCAAGGCCCGAGGCTTCCTCCATTTCCCAGGGCACCTGTGTGACAGCTCAGTTAGTCCCTCACAGCACGGGGAAATGCTAAGAACTGCATGTTCTAAAGTCCTGGGGTGAGTTGGAGGGCCCTTGGGCCTGTAACTGCAAGGCTACTCAGGTTCTCTGGAGTTGCAGACTGTTGTGGGAGGGACTGTGTCCCCCCAAGTTCCCATAGTGAAGTCCTAACCTCTAGTGCCTCAGAACGTGACTGTATTTGGAGGCAGGGTCTATAGAGGTAATTAAGTTAAAATGAAGTCATGGGGTGGGCCCTACTCCAGTCTTACTGGTATCCTTTTAAGACAGAAGAGGACACAGACCATGTGAGGACACAGGGAGAAGACAGCCAAGGAGAGAGGCCTCAGAAAAAACTAACCCTGGAGACATGTGGTCTTGAATCTCTGGTCTCCATAGGTGTGAGAAAATAAACTACTCACTCTCTGAAATCTTATTCTCAGCTCCAGAATGCCCCGGGCTGCACTGTGGACACTGAGGAGGCCCCATGAGCCACCAGCGAACCTGGGTGCAAGTGAGTACAGCTCTTGATACCAAGACCTTGGGAAAGGGGGTAAGGGGCTCTAGAAAGAGAGTAGAAGGCTTACTGGAGCTGATAAAACTGGATCCAGAAAGGCTACCAGCGGCCTCCTGGGTAAGGACCGTGGTGAACACACCAGACATGGCTTTAGGATTGGGGAAGTCAAATTGGTCTTGGCTTGTGGCCCTGAGCCAAGGGCAGTAGCTGCTAAGGTTTAATTCTCCTCCTCAAGGCCGTCTCTGGTGGCCGACAGCCAGGAGTCAGGATGTACTACCAAGACCATCAAACTTACTTTCGAATCCACTCAATAAAGTTCTTCTTCGTTCTGAGCACGGGCACTGCATATTTCTCTCCGTTCTTAAAGTACTTCAATGTGGGGAACTCGGAGATGTGGAACCTTTCTGCCAGGGCCTTGTTGACAGTGGCATCGACAGCTGCAAGGACACCAGAGCTCTGGGATGGGGGAGAGGCCAACCATGCACGACAGCCTCAGACATGGTGCAGGCAGAACAGAGGAGCCCAGACGACAGCCCCCTGCTCCCCTGCCCCCGGGCCTGCAGGGACTTCACTGTGGGGTGGCTGGCCCCGGGGCCCATGTATCCCAGGGAATGACCAAACACTGGCACGGTCATCATTTCTCCTTATGGGTCGAGATGAGGCTTTTAAATCTGCCCACCAAACAGGCTGTTCCCAATAGCCAGAGACCCAGAGAAAAGAGGGAGAATCCTGGGGCTTCCCCTCAAGGCCATGACCTGACAGAGGCTACCTGGACAGGCTTGGGAATATAACCTCAGTCTCTCTGCACCCCTCCATCCCTGGTAGGGCCCCACCCATCTGACTCGGAAACGTGGAAGTACTACAGATCTCCAGGGGCAGGGAGAGCTGCTGCAGAGCTGGCAGGGAAAAGCCATTGCAATGATTCATGTCACTGATTCTTCAGACAAGAATGTGGGGGGGAGGTTAGGGGAAGGATGCTTACGTCTGCTTCTCCGTGGAGGACTTCCGCTGCACTCTCAAACTCTGGCTTCATTTTCTTACAGTGTCCACACCCTGTGGGGAACAATCGAGAGAAACCATTCCCATGGCAGGGAGGCTCTGGGGATGTCCCCTGCCGCCACCTCTGCAGGACAGCTCGGCCCTGCTCCCAGGGGCGCCCGGGAGAAAAGAAGAATGAGGACAAAGAAATCGTGCCAAATCCACTGGGGAAGCTTCAGTGCCAACGAACCACCTATTTCCCTTCTATTCACAAAATACTTCTCATTCACATATTTCTGTGGCACTGAATTCTGTACTGCCTTATTGTCTTCTGATATTTAGGAGCAGCCAGGGCATCTTTTTAAAACAGAAATCAGATTAAAAACAAACAAACAAAAACCCTGGTTAAACCTTTCCCATGCAGGTACATTAAAATCCAAACTCCTTACTCCAGCCACAAGCCCATACCACCTGGCCCCTCCCACCTCAACCCCCTCCTGCCCTCTGCTCTGCAGCCGTGACCCCCTTTCTGTTCTCTCACTTCACCTCAGGGCTCTTACGCTGGTGCCTGGGACACGATCTTCCCCCAGGTCTTTGCATGCCTCACCCCTTTATTGCAATCACGCTTCAGTACAAATTTCACGTCTGCAGAGAAATTCCCTGGACACATAACCCAAAAAAGCCTCACTCCATCATGATCTCTTCCAATGTCCTATTTATTTTCTCAATTGGACTCAAAACAGCTGGAGTCACTGCTTTACTTGTTCCCTGTCCATCCCCCCAACCGGACAGGCCTACCTATCTGTCCAGCTCACCACCACACCCCTGCTATTAAGGACAGTGTTCCACACACTTTGTGAATGAATTAACCTCATAGCTATATTGTTCAGGCTTACGTTTGTGGTAACAGGATTTAATTGGACTAAATTCTTTCGGGGCAAGTCCTGTCTTATGCCCAAATAGTTGCTAGTTTGATTAACCTCCTCTATTTAGTATAACTGGCCACCAAGGCAGTTACTATGCAGGTACTTCCCCTCCCCAGCACCACTTATACATTCCCCTGCTCTTACCAGGTCTACAACACATCTCTGGAAATCTCCAGCACCCCGGGATGTTGTTCTAAAGTGTCCCACACATTCCCTAGCATTGACTTGATATCGTGTGATTTTTGCTTCTAGCATTAATTCCCTCTGCTCCCTGAACAAAATACTGAGGCGAAGCAATAAACTTCTGTAGACAGTTTATGACAAGGAGACTGGCCAGGCCCCGAGGAGGAGAAAGGGCTGGCTGGCACCTGCCTGCTCTGGGGAGCCGAGCTGTGGGTCAGGGGTCGTGCTGGCCTGGACCCCAGCTCCAGCTTCCTGGGCCTGGCCTTCAGGACATCCTGGCGGCGGGAGAGCCCGAGGCGGAGGGTTACACTCGGCCCGCTGCGTTTTAGTGTCCTGATTGTGATTTGATAGGCCATTAAGTTTTATCACCAAACTCCTTGTTGGGTTTTTATCATCTGTGTAAGTGCTCTTACGCTGATTTTCATGACCTGGCACAGAGGCTACGCATCAACGCCTCAATCACACTCTTTTCTGGCTGCGGGAGTGTTGGCCTCCCATCAACCCCAAGCCTTCAGATGCCTCTGGCCTCCATGCTCTTCAATTACACTTATGATTTTATTATCATGGAGGCTTTCCTGGACCCTGGGACCAGAGTTTTCCAGGGGACCAGATTAATTTGGGAAGCTGCCTGGGACCTGAGATTCGAGAGGAGCCTGGA